GCCCTTGACCAGCCTGGTCTGGTTGAGAGGTGTCCCTGCCCATGGCTGGGGGTTGGATGAGATGCTCTCTGGGGTCCCTCCCAACCTCAGCCAGTCTATGGTTCTATGAATCCATATATGTGCCTCATATCTATACAGATCCTGATGTGTATCTCCTGTCCCCTCTAAGAGGAATGAGAAAAACAAAACAGAGGTATCTGGTTTGGGCTCAGCACATCTGAAAGCTTCAGGGTCCTGTAAGGGAGTTAAACATCTGTTTGTGGGACTCAGCCTCTCTCATATTTTTTGGAAGCCTAAGCAATCCAATGACAAAGTTACACCCCCAAATCACCTCTTGCTGAGTTACTCGAGATCTGCCTTACAACGTGCTCCATGTGCAGTGCAAGAGGCCTGAGGACTCTCCACATTCCCAGCTTCTCAATCAGCCTGTTCAGTATAAAGGGGCAGAAATTCCTTGTGATCCCTGTTCAAAACCTGCTCAAAAACTGTGCAGCTTGTACCACAACTGATGCCACCAGGATACGCCTCACCCAACGATCAGGAACAAAGAACATGGGAAAATAAAACCAACACCCAGGCCAGAAGATGCATTTTTTTTTAATTTAGAAAAGTCAGTGTAGCCTGGACGTGGTGCAACACCACGAGAAGCAAATCCCCTGCCCAATACCTCACGTGGTGGGTGGTTAATCCTGCTGCAGGGTCCTACAGGACATATGTTCCAGTAGCCTGGAAGCTGGACCAGTTGGAGAAAGAAGAAAGAATCACAAAACCATTTGGATTGGAAGAGATCTTTCAGATCATCCAGTCCAACCGTTCCCCCAGGACTGCCAGGTCCCCACTGACCCATGTCCCTCAGCACCCCATCTCCACATCTGGTTTGGGTCATTGACTATTGGAGTTAGGGGCTCTCCTCCATGCTTAGTGGACAAACAGACCTCCTTAACGCTACAGAGCAGCTTTTTGGTGCCTGTCCCCTTTCCCTTGGAGTTTATCCATCTTTGGAGACAAACATGCAACAGCTGAAGCTACCCCACGCTGAACAGGAGGCATGAACTTGTGGAAGAATTTGGTTACTGGCTGTAGTAATTAACAGTAATTACCCAAATCTTAGGAGTGAATTGTAACGAATTCCACATGCCAGGGCAGAAGTGAGCTCAAACCACGGGCAAAGGTGGAGAGAAGGGCCCCACACTGCAGGCTGTGCTCTCTGACCAGCCCCCTTGCCTCCACTCCAGGTACCCAGGCAAATCTCCACTGTGAACAGCAGAGGATCTTTCAGCAGCACTTAGATTCTAACACGTGACATCCCACCTCCTTGAGCAGCTTATCTTCCTCCTACCCTCACAGCCTTTTTCTCCCCAGACTCAATAAGAGAAGTCCAAATCAATTCATGTCTTATCAGGAAGAGGCTGAAGTCTTGGTACCCGCCCTCATTTACTGAAGCCGTAAGGCAAATTTTAATCTAGACCATTCCATTTGTCACAAATCTGGTAGGAATTAAGAGGGCAAGAAGTATCAAAACCAAGTGTTAATGGGGTCATGTTATTATCCCTTTTTCAGCCCTCAGTTTCCAAGTCCAGAGGTTTCCTGGTACACACACAATGTCACCGTGTGCCATCAGGCTCCTCCCAAGACACACAACGTCCGCCTGCCTCTCTCACTGCAACAACGAGACAATGTTCAGAGAGAAAACAGAAGATAATTAGTTCTAGTTTTAGGGTTATGCTCTAGGGAAAACCTCATTACACGTTCCTGCTGCAGAGAGTAACAGAGCAAATGAATTTTAGCAGAGGAGTTGAGCCCAAGTGCCACAGATGCACCTCCAAGCACATCTGCTGCCACAAAACGGGCGCCACCAGAGCCCCTGTCAGACTCGTGTTGTCACAGCCTACAGCAGACATTAAACCAAACACACCACCACCCAGCTGCTCGGGAGCAAGCACCACAAGCCCAGAGGTCTCAGATTTGCTCCTCAGCCCCGTGGAGCCAGTCAGATCCCCAGCTGGCCCCGTGCTGTTACCTGTGCAGGAACTTGCCGTAGGTCTGGCGGAAGGCGAAGCCGGCCCGGCGCACCCTCACGTTCTCCAGCAGCCCCAGGTACTCCACCTGGTGCCTGCAGCGCTCCTCGTCGAAGAGCTGGGGTGACTTCTTGTCGTTGGGCTTGATGCAACGGACGTAGTAGGGCTCCTGGGGACAAAGCAGAGGGGTGTCACTCGGCAGGAAGGAGACTGCAGACACTACTGTGTTCTCCTCCGGCTGTCGAGGTGTCAGCCCAGCCCAGGCACCTGAGTGAGGTCTGGCTGCACAACAGGGATTCCAAGGTTAGAGCAGGCAGGACCAGAGTAGCAGATGACACACTCCCCCATGGCATCTGCTACAGGAGCCACGTGTTGCTCCTTCCAGTCCGACTGTCCTTTGTTCCTGATCAGAACCAGCTCCACATCCCCCTTCTCTACTGCCTGACAATAACAAACCCAAGCTTCATGAAACACAGAACCCCACGTACTTCACTGCCCCCACCGTTGGACAGGGCTCTCCCAGTACCAACCTCCAGAAGCAGCATGGATTATTACTCCATGATATTTAAACTACACTGGATCAAGTCCTCTGCAGCCTGTACCAAGACTCTTGAGTGATGGAAATCACTGAACACTACCCTGTGCAGGACAAACCCCAGTGACCTTCCCTCCCAGGTCAACAGCACAAGCACCACACCTTGCACAGGACACACAGAAGCCACCAGCCCCTGTGTTCCTCTCTCTGCACCACCCTGGCCTTGCAGGTGGCAGAGAATGTTCAACGGGGAACTGGTGTCTCTACCCAACCCAGCACAGCCTGGGCAGTCCCTGCCCCAAGCCACATGGGTGGACCCTGGATGTTCACTGGAACCTCCTGGGTTCCAGTTGGTGCCCGCTGCCCCTTGTCCTGTCCCTGGCACCACTGACCAGAGTCTGGCCCCAGCCTCTTGCCCCCCGGGGCCCTTTAGCTCTTGCTCAGCACTGCTCAGATCCCCTCTGAGGCTTCTCCTCTCCAGCTCAGCAGCCCCAGGGCTCTCAGCCTGGCCTGGCACAGAGATGCTCCAGGTGAGAATCCCACAGACATCACTGCCAACCCACCTGCACCCATGAGATAATCCCCACACCTAGTCCTGCCACACTGTTTGTGGAGTTTAATTTTATGTTTATGAGATTGAAGGCAAGTTCATTTAGGCCAATATGGTCCACAACAAGCAGCAGCCTGTGAAGGATGGCTAGAAGGCTTCTAAATGTCTGTGCTCTCATCACAATGGATTTTGAAGTCCATTCACCTCTTTCTCTTCATTGCCAGCCCATGTCATTCCACTTCTAACTTTATTACTGGGGGAAAAATAATTTAATAAGCATCATAAAGGCCCACCTTACTTTTTCAAGGTAAAACTGTGTTCTTACAGCATTAATATTTATAATTTTTTAAGTAGCCCTTGCAAAAGGAGTGGCATACTCTGCAGGCTGCCCAGCAAGTCTCATCACTAGTCAAGGACAGAACTCAAACAACAATCCCAGTCAGCTCAGAAAGTCACAGTATGTCCAGAGACCTTCTTCAGAGGACATGTCAAAGAGACACTTCAAGTGGAACACCTAAAAAAATCAGTTCACAGCAACGCTAACACTGTGATAAAGGGAGACAAGCAGAAGATGTCACCTTTCATTATCACAACTGATAATTAAGAATGAAATTTCCCCAGTTTTTCCTTGGACTAGATGAAACAGCTGGCTGTGAAACCATCACTAAAACCACTCTGAGTAACCAGGGGAACCTCAAGGGCTCTCCAAAGGAGGCTGCTCTGTTCCAGTACTACAGGAGGGTTTCAGCAGAGATCTGAATGAAGCAGCACAAGGTGGGTGCTAAATTCATGGGCAATACACAGGGTGCAACAACCCCCAACGTTAACAAGGGCAGAGGTGGTCTGGAGACATAAAAAGGAGATTCCAGTTGTCCTCACTAACTTAACATTCCACATACAGAAAGGGTTGTATAATAAAAGAATGAAAAATGGATTTGATGCTAGGACTAAAAACAAAAATCCAGGAGCTCTTGCTGAACACGAGTCAAGTTCATGTTTTCCTAACGAGGGGCCACAGGAACAGGAAAACTGTAAGGCAAAAAAATCCCAACAGATTTCTACTTCTCTGAACACGACGTTCAGTTTGGGGCACTGCAGCTCCAGTGGGATGCAAGCAGCAGTGAGTCAGAACAGGAAGAACAAGAAAGATCAGAAATCCAGAAGATGTGACTCAGAGGGAAGGTGGGTTTAGTCCTGAAGGACTGAGGAGCCCCATCACCACCCCAGTGCTAGGTGTAAAGGGTGGATATGAAGAAAAGTGAAAATCTAGTTTTAGGACAAAGAAGCATTGGCTTTAACTACAGGATAAAAACTCCAATTAGGTATCAGGAGAACAAGGAATGGGTGCAGAACGCCTGAGGGAGGGAGGGGAAACTCCATCCCTGGAGAGGAACAGCCTGAACCAGTGCCTCCATAGAAAAGGTGGAGATGCCCTCAGACAGGAGGTGAATTCCCAAGGTCCTCTTCAGCCCTGTTTTCTATGATGCTGTATCACTCACCTAATCTCAGGATGACATGAAAGGCCCCAAACTGCTATCTTCCATTGACTAATATAGAAGAAACAGGATCATCCCTGACTGTGGGGGCTAGTCCTGACGTGAGCTGGAGGTGCCCAGCACAAGGACAGGCACAGGGAGCTTCCACTCCTTACAAACAGGCTGAACACGAGTCACCAACAGGCTGTGACCTGGAGGCCTCAGGAAAGCAGAGCCTCGTGTCCTAGACACTGGTACAAGCCCCTGGATCTTCTGGGGGAGGTGCTGGACTGGGATGTCTCTGCTTTTCTTCCCATGCAATAGTAGCACAAGCTGTGCTTTGCTCCTGGGGGACAAAGGTTTTTTTGCTCCTTGGAGTAGGCAAGGAGGCTTCAGTTCAGTTTCAGGTTCAGTTTTGGGCTCAC